AGGATGGTCAGGCTGTAGACATGGGTTGCTGGTCACTACCAAGGTTTAAATTAGGGTAAAAGCCAGGCCAGAAAAGTACTCTCTAGCTGGTTACCTGTTTATCTATCTAAATATATCAAACAGCTGAATAATCACCCAATTTTGTTAAGTAGACATGAATTTCAATAATACCCCAATTTTGTTAAATAGAGCAGCCATGGACATAGTTGTTGGTCTGATGTCCAGACCGCTTCATAGGGTTTTCTCAATGATCCATTTTCATGTGTTTTTTAGTCTTGTAGGCCATCATGTGCGAGTGGGGTAACAAAGAGAATCCACAAAGTCCTAGCTCCGCCAAGAAGAGACAAGGAGATTTGGCAGAGTGTGGGTTATGGCTATGGGCATGTCTCCACTCATCTGGTAGCTGGACAGTGGTAAAAAGGGACTGCAGACTAGGAAAAGCACACAGAGCTCCAGGGCCTGATGGAAGATGCACAATGAGTTCCCCGCAGGAATGTGGCATTCACACGTGTGGTTATTATTTGAAGACTCTTGAGACTTTGAAATGACACATTATAAGAATTTTTTTCCAATAGCCAAGCATCATAAGTCCAAGGAAAAGAACTCTGATGGCCACCAACAAGAGCAGGAGAAAAACATGAAAGAAGTAATCAATGTGCTTTTGAGGGATACTTTATTAAATGCTTTTGCAGCAGAGCTTTTAATACATGAAGACTATGGTGGACCCTGGCTGCAGAGAAAGACATTTTAAAAATGTATGAACTCCAAAGCAAGAAGTATCTACACAATTCCATTACTAAGGGCTTCTAAACCAAACTAAATTCCTTTGAAGTGAGTTTGACAGATAGAAAATGTTACACTACAGTGTTTGTGATTTTACTAGTTATTCATCTCAACTAAATAGGCTTAGCTAGAGCAGAAGAGTTAATGAGAAATGTTCAGTAAAGACTCCAAGACTGGGGATGTGGCTCCATAGAGGAGTCCTTGCATAGCATGTGCAAAGTCCCAAATTTGATCCCCAGTGTCACCAAAATAACAAAAACAAAGGACTCTAAGTGTGAAATTGTGGTGACATCACCTGCCAGCTTGGCATGAAAGTCTGTTTCAGTAATTATAGTATGTAATATTTATAATGTGTATTTTAATTACAAGACTATGCCGAGCATTAACACTTTACAAGAATCCTAAGTATCCTTCCTGTAAAGCATGAACTATTCTTGTCTCATTTTACATATTACAGATGAAGCAAAGAGGCACCAAGAGGCTGAGAAACTTGTCCAAGGTCAGCCTGGAACTAGGCAGCCCAGCTTGAGTCTACTTCTTACCAGATACCACATGTTGTTGCCAGACTCACTGGGCTTCACAGGACAGTTCTGTGTTTTTCTGAGGCTCCCTTGGCCTACACTATTTTACTCTTTTGCCTCTGGTTACATTACAGATTTGTCCTCTCTTCCCTGTGGCTTCTTTCCACATAGGAGTGGGGCAGCTGCAGTGTTAGAAGGAACTCAGTCAGGGAAAGGCTGTTGCATGTACTTTGAGTTGTTTTCCAGGAAGATGGCTGGATTTTCTCTTATCCACCTACGTTCTTATCCATTTATAATAAAAGCTTACCCAAAGTGGCTGACTCAGGTAAAGTGGAGCAGAATAGCATCTCCGCTGCTCCAACCTCATCCACATCTAATCCCTGAGCCTGGGAACACATTATCTCATGTGCCAAGATAGAATTTGCAGGGGTGATTAGATCAGGATTTTAAATAGGGCAAACATCCTGGGTTATTTGGATGATTACATCTAAAGATCTGAGTAAGTGAAGCACAGGAGGCAGGTTGGTCAAAGTCAAAGGAATTTGAAGATGCTGCTCTGCTGTTTTGAAAATGGGAAGATAGAGGAAAATGGGTCAGAGGTCAATGCTGAAAAAGGTACAGAATTGAAGTTCTTGCAGCCTCCCACTCCAACAGCCTACTGCAGGTAGGAAACAAAATGAGAACTGTATCAACATTTAATGCCCATGACTAGCAGAGGAAATTCTACTTTTTTTTCCTTACATTGTCTCTCAGCAATTACCCTCAATGAACATAAGATTAGAGGGAAATAAGGACAAGTAAATGGACCCATGAGAAAGATAAAGGGTATACTTGAAAGAAAAGGAGGGACATATAGGGAGGTCAAATATTTCTTGGAGGGAAAATGATTCCTGCCTTAGTCTGGATTCTCCAGTGAAACAGAACAGGGAGATACAGAGGACAAAACAGACAGAGAGACCTGGATAAAATGGTCACTGTATTAGTCTGGGTTCTCCAAAGAACAAAAGGCGGGAGAGTTAAGAGAGGACAAGGTTATGAGGAGTTAGCTCCCATAATTATGAAAGATCTGCAGCTGGCCAGCCAGACACCCACAAGAATTCATGATGTAAGTCACAGTTCAAGTGGAAATCTGAGCCCAAAGGCAGAAAAAGACAATGGATCAAAGGATGATGCAGGAAGCTGTAGATGCTGAAAAAGGTAAAGAATTGTAGTCATTGCAGCCTCCCACTCTGATAGCCTGGTTAGACCCATTGCAGGTACGAAACAAAATGGACGTTTTGTTGATACCCAGCTTGAACAGAGATTGTGAATTCTCTCTTACTCTGCCTTCTTGTTCTGTGCTGGCCTTTAATGGATTGGATGAGGTCACCTGACACTAGAGGACTTTTGCTTTACTGATTCAAATGTTAACGTTATCCAGAAACACTGAGTTGCACCCAGAGTAATGTCTGACCAAATATCTGAGCACCAGTGGCCTACTACTTCACCACCAATGTCAGTCAGGTATGGCATAAAGGATTAGCTTGCACAGTATCCTAATCCAGCCTAATCTGATGGATATATGAGAAAATACTTCTCAGTCATTAAATTTAAAATGGGTGCTGCTGGGGAAAGCTAAGGTATACCAGTGAACAAGACAAACCTCAGAATGATTACATATTGCATCACTCTACGTTTTTGCAGAAAAGGAGATATATCTGTAATTAGCACATAAAGCACCAAGAGAGCAGAAAATACACAACACATTAGTAATGATGTTTCTAGGAAGCTGTTCTCAGAAGGGGTATTTCCAGCCTGTTTACACTTCATGGTTGGAAAGGGAGCCCTTGCAAAGGGAGCCCTTTCATGCCTAACTCTAAAATAAGAAAGGTAGAACCTAAGAATGCAAGGCACAAGGAGAGCAAAGGGAGATCATGAACTTAAAAGAAGCAATTGAAAATAAGGCATAAAGCATATCTTTCCTCGTACATGTCCGCACCAAGTTCATGCGCAGGGGGTTGGTCACTACCTGGTGACAGAAAACGAAGAGGGGATGGAAAAGGAAAACCAACTTCGAGGCATCATCCGTCATAAATGTGTACAGAAGAGCACACAGATTAGTGGTGGGACAAGTTTTGAGTGAGTGCGATTCTTTCAGGGGAGATTTTACGTTCTCTTGGCTTCTCTGCATGTTCCTTCTTTTTAAAAACAGAACACAGGTGTATGGACTGCAACTTAAAAAGCACAGAGATTCTCTGGGAAGTCTCTTTTCCACTCCTCCCGCCTCTGAGCCTCCAGTAACCCCCGCCGGAAGGCGCTGCGCTGCTACAGCTCTGGGCGCGAGAGGCGTTCTCAAGAACGCCTACAGATTCCGGTGCTGACTGTCCCTCACGCTCACAGCTCGGGCGGGCAGTTCTCCCAACACTCACTGGGCCCGACGCCACAGTGAGTCCGCGCCGGGTGAGACAGCGACCAAGAGGATGAAAGTCACGCTGTGCGGTGTACGGAAGCGCCCCGGAACTAGTGACAAGACGCCCATTTCCAGCTCCAGAGGGGACGCTTCTGCACGGACTTCCGGGACGCGGCCTGTTTGGAGCGGAAGTGCCGTGTGGAGGGCGCTGTCCGGTCGGCATCCCGAGACGCTAGGCGCCTGAGTTCTGGGCGGTGGGCTGAGCCCAGCCGCGCGGCCATGAACCTGGAGCGGTGGGCGCCTGGGCGGGCGGCCGGGGGGGCCCGGGTGGTAGGCAGCTGGGAGGAGCGGAGGAGATAAGCCGCAGCCAGGCCGTAGAACTTGACTGGCCCCAGAACGTTTTGAGGGCTTTAGTTGTGATTTTTATTTGGCTGAATTCGCCTGAATAAGAATATAAACAAGCTTGTCTCAGTCATTGCTTTAAAAAAAATTCCTATTCACGACATGGGACCCTTTACACGGCCCGGGTGGTAGGCAGCTGGGAGGAGCGGAGGAGATAAGCCGCAGCCAGGCCGTAGAACTTGACTGGCCCCAGAACGTTTTGAGGGCTTTAGTTGTGATTTTTATTTGGCTGAATTCGCCTGAATAAGAATATAAACAAGCTTGTCTCAGTCATTGCTTTAAAAAAAATTCCTATTCACGACATGGGACCCTTTACACTATTCTGGAGGAAAGAGCAAGAGGTTTTAAGACCGGAATCAGCATTAATGTGATGTCTTTTCGTTTTTTTCTGTTTTAAAATAGTTGCATTCCTAGTAAATGGCAAACGAAGGGGAGGGCAACGCCATGTTCTATGCAGAGTTTTCCCAACTGAGTGCCAAGCGATGTGGCCTAAACTTTGCACCATTCTAAGTGGCTGTGTTGTCTACCAGTCATTGAGTTAAAAGTTTTCTTATCATTGTTTCTTTGGCACTGGAACCTAGAGAGGAATAACATGGGCCTGATTTCCTCCTGGGGCATCTTCTCTGAGCAGATTTGCAGCTGGTCTGCAGGCATCCCTCCTACTGCCTTGTGGCTTGCACCCAGGGGGACTGAGGCAAAGATTGTAAAAAGACCAAGATATATGAAGCAGGGACTAAAGCTAGCCATGACAAACTTGTGAGTAGCTTTCCAGTGTCAGCTTTTTATTTGTGTTTGTATGTTAACAGCTTACTGAATGAATCTTTATAAATGTTGGCACAGAAAGTGGTAATGACTAGATTTTAAATTATCTATTTTCAGGAGGTGTTGATACATTTTTTTTGCTGTGGATATTTTTTTAAGACTGCCTTCATGAGTTGTATTTGTAAAGATCTTACAGTAATGTTCTTATTATACAATTAAACACATCCTAGCTGGGCTGTAAAATAGAGATAGAGAAATAATTGACAGATACTACACATAAAAACTTGCTGCATTGAGATATTACTATGTGGCATTCTAATAATAGTGGACATCTGTTCGTAACTGTGGAAGAACTGGGCAATCAACCCTTGTTCATTTTTGTGTGTGTGCAGCAGCAGTATCAAAGTGCTTTGTTTTGGGCAGACAAAGTAGCTTCGCTCTCTCATGGTAAGTAGTAAATGCTAATTTTTTTTCTAATTAATCTTTAAAACTCTATTTCACCTTGCACCTCTGACCATTTGTAATTTTTCCCTATAGAGGAGCCCCAGGATGTTTATTGGTTGGCTCAGTGTCTTTATCTGACTGCACAGTATCACAGAGCAGCCCATGCACTTCGGTCACGAAAATTGGACAAAGTAAGAACATTATTTGCATGAATTTCAAAACTTTCAATCCTGTTAAAGAAAAAAATTATCAGAATACCACCAGATGGGGTCCAAGGAGGTCCCCCAAACAGGAGAGGACAATCTTAATGCATTTCACCCATGAAGTAGGTTGTAGGATCGCTGACTTTTGTCACAGAAAAATAATTTTCAAGATGCTTCAGTGAGAGGCATAAAGAACTTTATTAGGTAGGATTTTAAAAGTACATATTCAGAGGCAATAGAATGTGGGCCCTCGAGAGAGATACAGTCTCGTCTGGAGTTAGGTATATTTATGTAGTTTTGGGGAGCTGTTATTAAGATAAATAATCTGGGATGAGTATTCCTACTATCTGTCAGGCCACCCACTTGGTCAAGCTATGTTAGAATGTAATGTACATGTGTTTAAAAGTTGAGATATGCTGCCCACTAATATTTCTGGGAGGGAGTGGAATTTATAGATGAAAAGCACAGGCCCAATTTACACGCTTATTGTGTCTTTAAGACCCTTAGGAATTTGGTTTGGTTTGGTTTGTTTGTTTGTTTATTTTGAGTTTCTTAGAAGAGAAAGGGGCTGGAGTAATTTTTGTGTCCTGAAGCTGCATGTTTTTTAAAAGTACATTATAAAATTATGATGTTCCTTGTTTCCTTTCTACCTATATTTATTGCTTCTGTCCAACCTCTATGTCAGACTTATATAAAAGCATTCATTTTTTTCTTGAATGTGAAGAGAAAATTTCATATTTTTAGTCTCAAACACCTTGTTTTCCCTCCCTCTATTGCCCATCTAGTCACTAAGTTCTGAAAATTCTGTTTTGGTTATTGTTGATTATGGGATGAGCTTTTAAGATGGGGTTCCAGTTTGTTGCCCAAGCTGTTCTCAAACTTTTGGGTTCAAGAAGTCTTTCTACCCCAGCCTCCTGAGTGCTAGGACTACAGATACATGGCACTGCGCCCAGCTTGAAAATTAAATTTTAAAATGTAGCTCTGAGGTTGTGAGTGTTCCTTCCATCTCTTTCTATCTCCTTGCTGTTCACACAAGGAGGCCTTCAATCTGTCTGTTCTGTTGGAGTCCGTTTTCTTGTCTCTTCTCCAGTAACATTTTTTTCCTTTCCTCCTTCCCTGTGTCCAGTTTGCAAACTGTCACAGGGATGGTTGCAAACTAAAACAGTTCTGATTATTTCACCCACAAATTCATTGTGATTTTTGTCGCTTACAGTATAAAATCAGATGCATTCATAGATACTGAGGTATACCACTGTCAGTACACTTAGCACATACTTTAGGTTCCTTTCATGTCTTGGACATGCCACATGTACTGTACTTAGGCTCCTCTTCGCTGCCTGACAAGTTCTTCACTTACCCCTACCCTGCAGATATTTCTCGGTCTGCTAGTGCTTTTTATGCTTGCCTTTCATAATGTGTTGTGTTCTATTCATGTCTCCCTTGCTGTAACCTCCTGAGAGATCCTCACTCATTTTTTAATTCTGTGTGCCAGGTAAACTAGTAGGGTCATGATGAAATGGGGTAAGAAGACTGGAATTTTTTAAATGCACGAGTAAAAGGAAATATTATAAAAATAGGTCTACATTTTATGCTTATAATTTTCTTTAAAATGAAGATATATATTATTTTGACCACTTTTTAAACAATCTCTTTCCTAGTTGTATGAAGCGTGTCGTTACCTTGCAGCCAGATGTCACGTAAGTATGCTTAGTTCCATTTATTTGGTGAAAGCTTGATTATGTGAGTGTTATGCATCCCTCAGGTATGTGTGAGAGTTTTGGTGATGAGCTTGGCAGCTTATATATATTTCATGAGGAAATCTTTTCTTTAGTTTGTTTGCTGTAAAATACTGATTGAACTGAAGAAAATTATATTTTAGATGTAGGTATGGATGTAATATTTATTACCCTTTTAATATTTAGAAGTCATGGATGATGAGTATTTCTGTTTTCTACATAGTATGCTGCAAAAGAGTATCAGCAGGCTCTTGATATTCTTGATATGGAGGAACCAATCAACAAAACACTATTTGAAAAATACCTGAAGGATGAAAGCAGCTTGAAAGACTCCTCCAGTGAATGGGAAATGTCGCAGTCCTCAGTGAGTGATTGTTAGCATGCTTCGGCAGTAGATAATGCCCATTTTACATGGCAAAAATAAATGCCTTTTAAACTTGTGTATTAGATTTTAACATAGCATCTCCTTAATAATTTTAACTGCTTGTCTCTGGATCATCTTTTAACGCAGTTATGTGTTTCTTAAATTCAGAGTCCAGAATGTAAGTCCAACCTATGTCCTATTGTAAATGGTAGTAATGAGATGAGATACTCAGCTCCAGTCCTCACCAAGTTCTATAAGTAAGATGGTATTTTCACAAGTAAGGAAAGGAAACTTAGGCCAAGACAATTTAAATCATTGTCCAAGGTAATACTTACGTGGAAGGGCTAGAATTTGAACTCAGTTCTATGGCTCCAGCAAGCCATTCTCCTGACCTCCCAGCACAGGCTCCCTTGCTCCTGACCTCTGACCGTGGGCGCAGTACTCATTAGGACTTTCTCATGGTCTGTGCATCATACTCTTTGTACTACACATGCACCTCTACTATCTCTAAATCATTGCCCTTTTTGGGGCAAAAGAAGTAATGTGCCTGGTAGCCATAGGGTGTGCATTAGTTATACTTATTGGAATAAGAGACTGGGGAAGATGGCTTGAAGATTTGCTTTGCTTTGATGTCTGTGTTAATTCATACTATGCTTTGATAGTTGAGATGAACCAGATCCTTGTAGACATAGTAAATACATAGTAGCATTTGAGCAAAATTAAGTTTAAAAGTTCAGACTTAGTATGTGACTCCTCTAATTTTTCCAACAGATAAAGAGTTCTATATGTCTCCTACGAGGGAAAATCTATGATGCTCTAGATAACCGAACCCTAGCTACATACAGTTATAAAGAGGCTTTGAAGCTTGATGTCTACTGTTTTGAAGCATTTGATCTTTTAACATCACACCACATGTTGACAGCCCAAGAAGGTTTGGAAACTCAAGTGTTTTTATGTTTAGCGCAATCGGTATTGTTTGGATTGTCTTTTTCTTTGAAGTTGTACAATCAAGAACAAGCTGTAGGTTTGAATAGACCTACTAACTTTCTTCTCTTCAGGTGGGAAGCATAGTGCAAAACTCAGTATCGTGCAAGGCATTTTGTTCCCATAATCTTTAGTGATTGTAGGGTCATGAGTTCATCTTTTTAAGAAGCAGTTGGAGGTAGTATAAACCAAGATTTCAATATCTGACTCAGTGATTCTCAACATGCTGTACTTTGAATCCCTGAGGAGCTTTGTCAGCGTAGCCAGGCATCGTGGCACATGCCTGTAATCCTAGCACAGGGGAGACTGAGCCAGGAGGTTCACAAATTCAAGGCCAGCCTGGGCTACATAATGAGTTCAAGGTCAGTCTGAGCTATATAGCAAGACCTTGTCTCAAAAAACAAAACATTATTGCTAGACACAGTAGTATATACTTATAAGCTCAGCTACTCAAGAGAGAGGAAGATTACAAGTTCCAGGCCAATCTCAGCAGTGTAGTGAGAAACTTTCTCGGTAGTAAAAGGGCTAAGGATGTACAAGGTACATACTGTGGTAGAGTACTTGCCTAGCATCCATGAGAAAGTGGGTTTCATCCCCAGCATGCCCCACCCGCACCTCCATCCTCCACACACAAAATCAGTGTCCAGGTCCCAACTTCCAGCCAGTCTATAAAATAGTCTCTGAAGTAGGGTCCTGACATCAGATTCTTTAAAGCTCCCAGTTGATTCTGACATACCAAAGGGACAGAGCTGCTGATGTAGTGTGTGGTGGTGATGTGAGGCATTTAAGGGATCAGGAAGCAAATTGGATTGCCATGGTAATTTGATTAAAACATTTTGGCATAACACAGTAGTTCTTGATTATTGGGGTCATATGCAATGCTGGGGATGGGGTATATGATTTGAAGGCAGGGAGAAGGTCAGAGGTTAATTCTGGCATGAAGCAGGTAGAGGCCAGAGACCCTGCTAGATACTTTGCAGTTTGAGGTCCCTGCAGCATCAGTGATGTTCACACCTGTGGGCTTCTGTCTGGCTGATGACAGGAACCCCCTGGAGATCTCCTTCAGGTGATTTGAGTCTCTGAGGCCTGCAGACCACTAATGTCAGCTTTTTCTGGCACTTTTTGTTTTGAGTTGTGTTGATTCACTTAGGCCAACTGTGCAAGGATATTTTTAGTTGCTGACTTTTTTTCCAATAAATATTATGACATTCTTTTTTATTTGTTTTGTTTCTCATCATTTTTAAGAAAAAGAACTTCTCGAGTCACTACCTCTTAGCAAGCTCTGTACTGAAGAACAGGAATTACTACATTTTCTGTTTGAGAACAAATTAAAAAAGGTAAGCAGAAACTCAGCATTTGCTTTATATAAATGTCTCTTATTCCATTAAATTTGATCTTTATTAAATTTTTAAAATAGAAGATTAACCAGGCACACTTAAAAGAATAGATTATTTTAAATGCTTATGAGTCCTAAAAAAGCTTCTAAAATAGTTTCCATCTTCCTCTCAAGAATTCCTTATACTAAAAGATTGAATTATCAAGTAAGAGGGATGGGGTTGTGTGAAAAATCAGAAGTTTTTCTTCTGCTTCCTGAGCTTCTGTGTGAAATATTTCCTGCCATGGAATTCTGTGATGAAACTGAGACAAGGTTAAACTGAATGAGGGGACTACCAGTGAAACTTGTAATTTAAAGGTTTTCAGGGACTCATATGTCCTGTGTATGTGTGTTAACCACCTGGGCCAAACATAGATTGAGTCTGCCTTTTGATATGTTGCTGCTCATTGAGTTTATCTGTGAATTTCTCTTTTTCAGTATAATAAGCCTAGTGAAACTGTTATCCCCGAGTCTGTAGATGGCTTGCAAGAGAATCTGGATGTGGTAGTATCTTTAGCTGAAAGACATTATTATAACTGTGATTTTAAGATGTGCTACAAGCTTACATCTGCGTAAGTATATCCTTCTTCTTTTGTGTGGGAACATGGGGTTCAGACCACACCTATGCAGTTCACAGACATGTTCTCTGACTAACTTTGAAGTAGTTCGTGCTAGTTTAAGTTACTTCTACCATTTACAGAGAACCCAACAGGTTGCTGTCTTATGCGAACTATTTACAGGCACAAGGTTATTCATATGTGTAGGTGTATTACGGTAACTTGGAAGAGAGATAACGTGTGCATGTTGATAATTTTGATAGTTTGAAAACAGCATTTTAGCAATAGTTTTATAAAGTTCTTCATTTATTAGAGATTGGACTGAGGATGTAGCTCAGAATAATTACCTACTGGTGGCACACATGAGACCCTGGGTTTGATCCTCACCAGTACCACATAAACAAAAAAAGTAGAAACTAAAGTAATCCTGTAGACACTGTATGCCCATCTAGCATACTCTTAGCTAAACTATCTCTTCTACACACCAGCTTTCCAGGGTATCTCATCAGCCTTGTCCTTTACCTAATTAGATATTCTGTGTTTTTGTGAATTGTTATGATGAGTGCTATCACATACTGTTTCCAGTAAACTATTTTACTTTAACTTTCAGAGTAATGGAAAAAGATCCTTTCCATGCAAATTGTTTACCTGTACACATAGGAACGCTTGTGGAACTGAATAAAGCAAATGGTAAGAATTTTCTTTTTAATTAAAAAAATTTAAGACAGAAAATCTCATAACTCTTGAAACTTTGTCTCACAAGTCACAGACAGTTGAGACTGAAGTGACAACATGGTGGAGCTCCATGCAGAAGTAAGGATTGGGGAAGAAAGGGTTATTAGAATGATTGAATCCGGCTTTGCCTTCCTGACAGAATAATACATGTCTGGGTCTCTGCTTCCTCTTTGTTTTTATCAAATGTAATTTGTTGTTTAAAGTGTTGGTTGTGGAGTTTGACTTCTTTCTCCTTTTTTAGTAAATTCCTTAAAATGCTTATGGCAGGAGTTAGTAAGTACAGTATTTACAAACTGGAAGAGAACAGATTGTGTGGGTTTCTACATTTTAATATACCAGAAACATTTAGGTGTATTTGGGCCAGTATTTGCCCTAAAATTTATAAAACTAAATGGTGAACTCTTATCAGGATGCTAGAAAATTCATAACTACTCCAGCTCCAAACTTCTGGTGCTCTCTGGCATGTGGACCAGTAGTATTGTATCTCCTGGAAACTGCTTGGAGATATGGAGATGCAGTCTATCCAGCTGCCCCAGACTACTGCATCTTGAAGTGTGCATGTATGAAATGCTGTAATAAAACTCTAGAACTTAATACATATCTTTCAAGAAGAATTAATTCACTGATCATCTTGAAAGTTTGGCCTACCAGTTTGGTTATGGGTGGCTAAGATGGTCTATCCTGGGTATATGTCAGAAAGATGTAGGTTTTTAAGTTGGGAGCTTTGAAGGAACCTCTGCCACAGTCGAAGGGCTTTGTACAACATATCCATTCCCTTGTGGTCTTGTGCCATGTGCCCTTCATTCAGTTTTCTGGTCACTCGGCAAGTGCTCAGTGCCCACTGTGGGTCTGGGGAGGGTGTGTCTCCCAGATGGGATTTTTGTACTTCATGAGCTAAGTGAGAAGGGAGATGTGAAGTTATTGCTTTGAAAACAGGTTTTGTTTGACTAAAAGGGTTGTAACTATGGAGTGGGTCTGATCTTAAATTGTATTTCATATGAATAATTGAATTCTTTTTTTCTTTTTCTGTAATACAGAGCTTTTCTATCTTTCTCACAAACTGGTGGATTTATATCCTAGTAATCCTGTAAGTAATTTAAATCTCTTTTTCTTACTTGAACTTTAACAAAATACTTAACTAGTACTGTATTTAGACACTAGATTATATTTAAGGTAGGCACAGTGCCACTGAGCTAAATCCCCAGCATACAATGTCTACAGGATTACTTTAGTTTCTACTTTTTTTTTTTTTTATATTTAAGTTCAAGCAAATAGTGTTTTATTTTAAAGTGGTAGGACAGTCTTTTAGTGTTTAATATATTAGAAGGTAGCATTACTTCTTTATTCTGTGAAGGTGTTTTTTAATTATATAGTAGTAGTAACTTAAAATAGAAACCTTATTTTCTGATTATAGAAATATTCATGCTTATCATTTTAAGTCACTCATCATACAAAATATAAAATACTGACAGTGACAGACACACTTTACCTTTTGTAAGGAATGTAATCGTGGTGGCTTTCTCACATCACATGTATAAGACAACATACTGAGCTGTGTGTACTGATTGAATCAATGTGTCTTCCAACCTGCTGCAGGTCAGAATGTATATCTAGGAATGGAAAACAGAATTAGTAACTGTACCCTTAAAGACAAAAGCCAAGAATCTGAGTCTGAGTGTCAGACAAGATAAGAATTTGCCCCTAGCCCACTGTAAAATCCTTGCAAGAGAGGCTTGCTGAGAGTCAGAACCCAGCAGAGCAAGGGAGAGCTGTAGTCAGGCCAGGATACACAGGCAGGTATTCTTGGGTGCCTGTCTGTGGCAGCCGCCTAGAGAAAGAGTTGAGTGTCTTTCTCATCTAGCACCTGAATAGGTTGGCAGAGAAATTTTTAATTCAAAATAAAAATATTTGACTTAGAAATATCTGGTGTACCTTCTATCTAGCTTGTTAGACATTCCAGTTCAAATTTAAGCATATTGGTCATGGGCAATATCGAATTTTTTAGGTGTCTTGGTTTGCAGTGGGATGTTATTATCTCATGGTTGGTCATAAAAATGAACATGCCAGAAGATATCTCAGGTATGAATTTGTTTTTCTTTCTCCATAGTGAACCTATAGGAAGAGATTTCTTGCTCAAATATTTCAGTGCCATAAATTGTAAGGTACTTTTCAAATAGTGTAAGAGAATAAATATTTTCTGTGACAGATTCTGTTCAGTTACCTGTGTGCCTTGCTCTTCATAAGATGCCAAAAGGGAAGATAAATTAGTGGTATGCACCTTGTTCTAAAGGAGCTTAGATGTTTTTTGTTTTACTCATAAATGAGAATAAATAGGGAACAAAAATATATTTTGAAAGATTCTGTTTTTCTTTTACAAAGATATAAACCTTTACATTTAGGGCTTTTTCTGGTAGTTGTAAAATTACATAGAACTTGACATAATATTAAGGCTAATGAATGTGACAATAAAACAATTCTTGACAGAGTACATAGGTTCCTATAAGAACCTGCTGTGATTTTACCTTAAGGAAAGTCAAGCTACTTAATCGCTATTTTGCAAGTGTAGAGAAATGTCTAGTATATAAAGAAGTAAGTACTTAAAGACTTTAAATGCAGTAATACCTGTGCTAATAAAAGAGAAAATGGTTTATAAGAGTAAGAGCATGAACTCTAGAATCAGACTAAAATTTTTATCCAAGTTTTTTGATTTACCAGCTATAATTCCTTGAGAAGGTTAATTTCTCTTCTCTAAATATGAAGGTGATGTAGTACTTATACAGAATTGTAGTACTTGTACAGAATTGTTAGAAAAATTATTAACACAAAAGGGCCTTATACCAGGAAGGAAATAAGAAGAGCTCGCCTGTTGGTTGTGTGTTCAGCACTTTAGAAAAGCTTGTGGGTTGGGAAAGTCATTAGAATTGTAGACATGCTTTTGAACTATGCTCCTTTTAGTCTGTGATTCAGTGGACTCTACCTTAAACATGGAACATTTGGATGAAAGCTGAGAAAATAAAACGCTAGGAAGAAGGAGAGCACCTTTTATATTTTTCATATTTTGTGATATGTTCTCTTTAGTCCTTGTTGTGTATTAGCTAGTAGTGTCTACTGATTGCGAATTAATTATATGTAGTCTAATCTAGGGAACTAGGATGACTCTCCTACCACCACTCTTTGGATATCTCTTGTCTATTAAGCCTTGGTATACTTATCTTTAAAATGTATTTAATTTATTTTGCAAGTTGTTAGGATGAGATCATGCATCTAAGGCACCCAACCTGGTGCCTGACACAGAACAACCATCATTAAGTGGCTATTGCTACCACCACTGCTTATTGCCTGCTGGGATAAATAATATTTGTGAGTTTATTCAGAATGTTAGGGTTCACTGTAGTATTGAAAAAAGTGTACACCTCTCCTAAAGTTTGTTAAAATGTTGCTTGTGTTGCAAAGTAGTACAGATGTATTAACACAGATGTTATATTAGTATTTAATGTGTTAACAGTCCATTTATTTATTGAGCTAATGTTATTAATAAATGTGTTTGAAGCCATCTGCTTATATAAAATTAACAGTTTAAGAATAAATATATTAGCCTGGGGATTTAGCTCAGTGGTGCCTCTGCCTGCCTCACAAGCACAAAGTCCTGAGTTTGATCCCCAGTACCAAAAGAAAAAAAAAAGAGAATAAACATATTACTTGAATGAATGCTTTTGTTTTAGCAAAGCTACAACATTAGAGAAGACCTACGGGCCTGCGTGGATAGCCTATGGGCATTCGTTTGCAGTTGAAAGTGAACATGACCAGGCCATGGCTGCCTACTTCACAGCAGCACAGCTAATGAAAGGGTATGACAGAGCAAACTGAGTGAATGAAGCCATGGAGTGTATGTTTTTTGTTTTTTGGGGGTTTTTTCCCCCTCTAAGAGAATGCCATTTGGTTGCTAAACTAAAAACCATTATACTTACTTCTTATCTAGTACCTTGTTATTGTAAAATAACTATGGAGAAAGAAATTGAGTCCAACAGTTTATCTCAGTGCAAAAGGAGCTATGAAATTAGTCCAAGGGATATAAATGATATAAATGTACCCTGAGAGTATATTTCTTTAATGAATAGACTAGTACCATTATTCCCATTGATTTATTGCAAAATTCTTTTATGTGGATAAATCCCACTGACTGATGACTCCGTCCTTCTGGGGACAGGCGGTGGGAATGTGATGGTCCCTGGGGTTTGACTGGATTTAGACTGCCTGCATTTGGCTGTTCCACTCATTGCTGTGTGAGGTTGGGAAAACTACTTATCCTTTTGAAAGATAGGAATAATAGCATAACTTACTGGTTTATTATGAGGAGTATTCAGTAATACCAATTGAAGACTTTGAACAGTGTCTCTGAACATAAACGGTACTCGATAAAATTTCACTACTTTTGTTTGCTGGTAGAATTTAGGGGTAGTGCTAAATATTTAGCTATCTTGAATTTTATCATTAGGTTAATCTGCTTTTTCCTACTCTCAGTTCTGCTTGCAAATTATTTATCAAATCTGTTTTTTATAGTTATTATCTTTGATATGTCTCATAACTAACTAGTCATCTGTAGAAATACTGTGAAGGACATAATTTACTGTGTTAGCTTGAGTTGCCATAACACAATATCACAGACTGGGTAATTTAAACAACAAAAATATTTTCTTATGGCTGTGGAAGGTTGGAAGTTCAAATTCAAGGTGTTAGCAGCTCCTGGCTTGCAGGTGGCAGCTTCTCATTGTGTCTTCTTGTGGCAGAGAACACTGTCTTGCTCCTACAAGGACTCTCACTATTTGAGTACGGGGCTGTTTGGGACCTCATATAACTTTTACCACACTTCACAGGCCTTGTCTCCATATACAATCGCAGTGGGGGTTAGGCTTAGTGAGTGAATTTGAGAAGGCCCCATTAATTCATTCCAGAGCACTAACCATGCTTCTGGAAGTAATCTTCTGTGTTGTAGTTATTCAGCACGTTATTGATCACATAAATGGTCCAGGCTCTCCATCCTGTTTGCAAGGATGTGTGAGACCTTCTCCAGTCTGTGCAGACACTCAGGCCTGCTGTCTACCTGTTTCCACTATCAACTTGATGAATTAGCAGCAAAAAATTCTCAGTAATTGATTATGAATTTTTTTTCTTAGGAATATATGCTAAGGCATGGTATCTTTTGATACTCTGGGTGCTAGAAATCGTAGTTACTAGTAAGTTCCGAGCTAAGAATCAAAGTCAGTAACAGTTAATGACACAATATCTAGTGTTTTCCAGTCTAACAAACTTTGTCATTAAATTCTCACATCAAGATAAGCACTGAATTTCATTTCTCCATCAGAACAGCCTTATATTCTTTCAATTTGTCTATGTTTGGATAACAAACTCTTTGAAATTGAGTAAATATTTTTGTTTCCTTTATGATTTTTTTTTCTTTGAACTACTTAAGAATATGTTTAATTTCCACGTTTGTGACTTTCCCATGTTTTCATGTAGTGTTGATATCTGATCCGATTCTCCTGTGGCTGGAGAAGATGAGATCCTTGTAGCCTAGGGCCTGTTTCAGAGATTGCTTCACATACACTTAGGAACTCTGCTCATGTAGGGTGCAGTGTTCTGTAGACCTCTCTTAGGTTTCATCTTCTGAGTATCATTAGAGCCTCTATTTCTTTCTTGATCTTCTACCCAGTTTCTCTTTATTGCAAATGAAACATTGAAATTTCAGCTCTTATTTTCTGTTTCTTCCTCTGTTCTGGCAGTTTTTGCTTCATGTGTTCTGGACCCCTTTTGTTAGATACTGTATAATCATGAATACTCGTCATAGATCGAGCCTTTCTTGTCTCTACTAAAAGCTTCTCTTTCTTTTTAACAGTTTCTTCTTAATTAAAATATTTTATCTAAGTCACACCAGTTCCCCTTTGTTTTCCTGGTATCTTTTTCCATCTGTGTTAGTTGGCTTTCTAGTACTTTAACAAATTGCGAAGAAAGTTAACTTAAAGGAGAAACATTTATTTGAGCTTCCACTGCCTTAATAAGGTTTCAGTCCTTGGTCATATGGCCCCATTGTTTTTAGGCCATTAGCATCACTGTGGAGGGTGATTGGAGGAGCTGAGCTGCTCCTCTCCTGGTATCCAGAAAGCAGAGAGAAAATGTGGGAACAGCAGGGGACAAGATTTAGCCCCTAAATCTTGCCTTCAAGGACCTATTTCTTCTATCTTGGCCCTGCCTTCTAAATTTCCGTCACTTCCCAGGAGACCTAGGAACCCATAAGTGGGTTAATCTGTTGCTGAGGTCAGAGCCCTCATGGACCCCCTCTGAACATTGCTGCACCGGAGGCCTGCCTTGCAACACAATGAGCCTTTGGGAGACATTCCAAACACAAACCTTAACACCATCCTTCCTTTGTTCATGTCTTTGAATGTACTGTATGCCTCTTATAGACAACATACAATTAGATCATGTTTTTAATCCATCTTTGTCTTTTCATTGGGCTGTATATTCTATTTGCATTTAATGTAGTTACTGACAAGGTAAAATTTATGTTTGCCATTTTGTTCCTTGTTTCCTGTATTTCATGATTTTTTTTGTTGTTTCTCCGTTATTAACTTCTTTTGTGTTAAATAGATATATTGTAGTGAAACCATTTTAGTCACCTTTTTCTATATATGGTGTCTATCTATGTACATATATATAAATGCACATTTTTTTCTAAGTGATTATCTTGGGGATGATAATCAGCAGTTTAAAACAATCTAATTTTTATTAAAATCAGCTTAATCTCAATAGTGTACCAAAACAACATTAGGGCTGGGGATTTAGCTCAGAGGCACCACACCTTCCTTGGAAGCACTGGGTCCTGAGTTCTATTATGGAACTGCAAAACAAACAAACCAAAAAAAAAACAAAAACCCAACAACATTACCCTAGTTTTGATCTATTCCCTCCTGCCTCCTTTCTGCCATTATTTTTCATGTTTCAACTTATACATTATATACCCACCAACCAAAATTTATAATTATTGTTTTACTCAATTGTCTTTAATCAGACAAAAAGAATTGCAAACAAATACACTGTTTTGTATTTTCCAATGTTGTATACTGGACGCATTTCTTTGTGTGGATTTAAGTTACTATCTAGTGTCTGAAAGGGGGTTCGCGTGCCCTTTTGGGTGCCCCTTCCCAATTAGGCCACTCACGCACCGAGAGGTCCGGCAGGAGATCTTCATTGTAGGGAGGCGAGCAGGAGGCAGGAAGGCAGAGAGAGAGAGAGAGGAGGAAGAAGAAGCAGAAGGAGAGAGAAGAACAAAGAAAGGAAGGTCCTTTTATCAGTTTTGGGGTGGGCTATTGCTTATTTATGAGGAGTGAGCTACTTTTAACCTATCACAGGCCAGATTGCTTTTATAGGCCCAGTCCTGCAGACACAGGTTTCAACTTTGCTGGACCACTGTGGCCTTGACGGGGAGGGAAACCAGAGATAAGGGCATGAGGTCATTTTAGGAGCCAAGATGTACCAGGAGAATGCAGCCTGTGAGGCAGCGTCACAGCATACTTTAACATGATCAATTCCCTAACAGTGTCTGTTCATTTTAGCTTGGAGGATTCTATTATTTCTTGTTCAGCAAGTCTTCTGCTGAGCGATTCTTTCAATTATCCCTTATCATATTCATTGTGTACTAATTCTTTCTCCTGCCTATTCAGATCTACTTTTAAGCCCTTCTAGTAAATGTATTTCTTCATTGTACTTTTCAACTCCAGAATTGCTATTTGGCTCCTTTTTTTTTGATGCCAGGGATTGAATTTAGGACCTTGTGTTTGTGAGGCAGGTAGCACCACTGAGCTAAATTCCTGGCCCTTGGCTCTTTTTAATAATTTCTTTCTCTTTATGATCTGTTTGGTGGAACATTTTTCTTATACTTTAATTTTTTACACATAGTTCTTAGAATATTTAATATAGTTTATTTAAAGTACTTGTCTTTTAGGCCCAACATCTGGGCTGTTTCCACAAGTTCATTTTGGCTTTGTTTCCCTGTGTATGGGCCATATTTCCTTTTTCTTTGTCTTTCTCTTTATTTTTGTTGAAAGTAATATAATGTGGCATTTCTGGAAATTAGATTCCCCATCTACCCGAGGATTAAAGTTCAGAACCCATTCTGTAGTCTGTATCCCTTGCCTTCTTGGTTAGCTAGCTCAGTGGCTCTCATCCCCTTCTGCCTGTGTGTGGACACTTTTTCAACATGCTGCTATTGACGTCTTGCCTTAGCTTTCTCTTTGTGCACAGAGCCTTGAAGTCAGAGATGAGAGATTGCATCTCTGCAGTACTTTCCACTGCATGCATATAGACTTAGAGGGTGGTGCCTTCTGGATCCCCAGGAATGTGTCCTCAAGGGCCCAAGGGACATCATACTCCTCAGATTTCCTTTAAGGTTTTGGTTAGCACTTGTTTGTTCAAACTGGTATAGCTTCCTCAGGCAGCTGCAGTGATAAATAATGCTGCTGGTTGTTTTAAAAAAAAGTGTGACAGAGATAGATCTTTTCTCACTGAGAGAGCTCTGAGGTCAAATAACAGGCTAGGAGAAGCCTTTTCCAGGGCTACAGAGCAGGTCACAGGTAACAGCCCTTTGCAATGAGTGCTGCAGGGCCTCCACACTCCTGCTCCCTCCAGTGGCATCTGGGCCAAGGGTTGTATAGCTGCTGCCCTTGTTTAAGCGGCTGCTAGGGCAGAAGAGGGGCGGGCACAGGACATACTGGGGAACCACAAGTTTGCTGTGCTTATGTGGAGCCAGGCATTTTCTTGAGTATACACTGGTTCCTGGGTTAACTCTCAAAGTTCTGAAAAAGTTGATTTTGATAACATTTGCCAATGTTCTTGTTACTTTTATGGATAGATTCTAGAAGTGGTAACTAGTTAGTCTAAAATCCCATTAGTCATTTATTAAGTATTAGTTCAGAGAAAAAGGTAAGTGCTGTGTTTTTGGCTACATTTAAAATATTTTGCAGATGAGATCTGAAGTTAATCAAATTTCTATTGAATTACCAACTTTCTGGTATTGAATATACAAAATTTTCAATGTTTTTAGGTGTCATCTGCCAATGCTATATATTGGATTAGAATATGGTTTGACCAATAATTCAAAACTGGCTGAAAGATTCTTTGGTCAAGCTCTAAGCATTGCACCAGAAGACCCTTTTGTCATCCATGAAGTTGGTGTGGTTGCCTTTCAGAACGGAGAGTAAGTATTGAAGACCTCAGCTCCTCTGTTGTCTTTGTGAGTGATACCTCCCTCCCCAGGGTTCAGTTGACCAAAGTGATGATATAGCATTTTTATTTTTAAATGTAGTATTTTAGAATATAGAAGAGAAAAAGACATTTTCCTTTTGAATTTCCTTATAACCCCAAACCCATGTTTTGATTTTCCTTGATATTGGCTACTACAAAAGTTTTATACCACAGTGTGGCCTAGACGTTCTAGGGTCCTTGGTTACCTCTGTCAGTTAGGATTAAACACAAATACTGAGAAGGTTTTCCCACAATTTTTCAAACTCGTAAACCAGAAAATTAAGCTAGGTAGAATCACTCAATCTCCAGTGTCCAGGTCAGTTGAGCCTTTTCTGTAGCCTTTGATATTTGTAAATTAAGTGATTCTGTGTCATACTTAAAAAATAACAATATCTCATTCTTTGTATTAGATTATACCTAAATTTAAAAACAGTAAATTAGAGCTTCAGTGTTGTTTGTGGCATATGGGGTTGTCTAGGTATTTATCAAAAAGGAAATTTGAAGTTTTAAAAACATATACTGATTTAATGCAGCCCCTTTTTGATGTCTGCAAGCTCTGTATCTGTGCAGTTGCCTACTCACTAAGATTTTCTTGTCACCCTAAAACTATTACGGGTGCCTTCGGTATTCTCATACATACATGCACCAGTGGAAAGACTGGATCCCCTGAACCTCGAACAAGGTCACACTCAGCTCTCACTGTGAATGGGTAATTCTTTCTGTGGTCTGTTTAGTGCCATATTTTCACATTTTTGTTGGTGATTTCATATTTAAAGTAATCCCCAAGCTTAATGGTGTCTAGTTGGCAGCACTAGAACCTGTGGTGTTCTCCCCACGGAGATGGTGTCGGATGAGCTTCACTCCGACTGGAGCAACTATGCTGTTGGCCTCGAGCTCAGTGTCACTGAGTCAACATGCATGTTAAACAAGGTGACTAACAGAAATACACACGAAACAAGTTTATTCATGATCAGTTGATGAAGCATTGTGACCAGAGGTTTACAGAAACCTAAATACCACAAGTCATTAGAATCAAGTCTCTTAAATTGTGAGCTTGTGTAGTACTAATACCATAAAATTAACCATTTATCTAACTGAATTTTAATTTGAATCACTTATTCTCAGCGGATTACCCTATTTAATTTTAGTGCTACCAGAAAAAGATAACACAAATTTTTCTTCAAATGTTTATGCTTGCTAATTTTGAATAACCTGCAAACTTTTTTCCCCTCTATTTTTAGATGGAAAACGGCAGAAAAATGGTTTCTCGATGCTTTGGAAAAAATTAAAGCAATTGGAAATGAGGTATTCTGTGTATTATCTATAAATGCATACATATGTTCCTCTAAGCATATTTACAATCGAATGAGGAAAATAGTGGAAACATAGTCTCTGTTACCTAGAGAGTAACCTAACATAAGTCATAATAGATAGCTCAGTGATATAAAATTGTTAGATAATTAACTTTTACCACATGGCAAAAATGAGTTTGTTTCCAGTTAAGGGACAGATGTTGGGTGTTGGCTTCTTAACAGGACCCTGGCTGGATCACGTGGGGGCAATCAGAATATATGAGATGATGATTTGGAGCTAGGCATGTGGATGGTCAGTAGAACTTGGTGGGAACTGCCCCTTCTAACAAATCCTTCTCCATACCCTTTAGGAGCCTGGTGTTTGCCTGAGGGATGCCTGTAGTTTAGAAGCAGGTACAATCCCGTGGAGGCAGCCGTCATTGGAATTTAGACCTTTTGTCACTGGTTGCTGTCCCTTATTGTGTGCTATATTTATACCTTTGTGTATTGGAAGTATTGGGTTAGGTTTTGGTGTATGAAAAGTGCACCTCATGAATTGGTGCTATGACACCAATTCCAACTAGCTAAGATCTGTGTGTGCTGGGATTATTTTAAAGTAGTAATAATTTAGGGGCCAGTGATTTGGCTCAGTGGTGCTGCTGCCTGCCTTGCAAGTGCAAGGGCCTGAGTTCAATCCCTGGCATCCCCCAAAACAAACAAACAAATAAAAAAATAAAGTAGTAATAATTTAGCCATAGACTTGTATACGTGATTTGCATGTTGCTATTCTTATTGTTTCCAGTTCTTTGATCCATACCTATTTTGTTTTATTCTGATTCCCACATCCCAGTTTTGAATGTGCCCATAGGCACCCTTCTTCCTTATGTTGTCTGTCACCTGTGACAGATAGATACAGCTCTGCAGACCCCCTGCAGTGGCAATCTGCCTGTCTCCATAGACTCAGCTTTGCTCTCTTTAGTCTCTTATTGTTTGTCATCTAAACTTATTTCTGGCATTTGCTCATGGATATATATTAAACCAAGGCTCTTTCTCAGCTGAGTCTTGGGTGATTCTGGATGATCTGTTTTTCTTCAGTCCGGCCTAGCAGCTGGAAGTTGGTTAGAATCCAAATGGCAGCATGGAATGTTTGAGGAGCATGCTCCTGAGCCAAATGTAAAATTGGAGCTATGTTCTTTAATTCACTCAGAGTCACTTCCGTCAGAAATTTAAAAATAATGGTTTTAAGTTTGAAAGCACAACATTATTGAAGTATTGCAGTGCCTAAAAGTTGTATAAAAGGAAAATATTATGTGACCTTAGTTATAAAGTATAGTAGATGTCAAAATAGCCAAAGAGAAGCAGCCAAGCCTAAGAACCACTGAAGGGTTTATTTTTATTTAAATGGGCTGTTTTTGTACAGCCAGTCTCAGCGGAAGTTAGAAAAAGTGGCTTGAGTTTCTTTTTTAATTTACCTGACAGCCATATCCCAGGCTCTTAGCTAGGCATTGGATACCACAGAAACTAGTTCGATATTTCTTGTTCTCAGATCTACTGATGAATGCAAATAAATAAATTGACAGTAATAAAACCATGTAATTGAAGAAATAAAAGAGCAGTGGTTCACCTAGACACCAAAGTGGTTAGGCTTTGGTTATGTCATACATCTCAGTCTTGAGGGTAATCAGATGTCAGTGAGGCAGAAATGAAGCAGAAGGGTATTTCAGGTGTAGAGAATGGTAGGTGCAAAGGTGGAAGCTGATTTAGTGTGGTTTGAATTTTGAGGTTACAGAGAATGTCAAGAAGTGGGACAGGAAGCTTCAGTGTGGGTCATTAGTGACCTTGAAAACTTTGTTAGAGAATTTGCACCTTATCCTGGGAATGTGGGCAGATGATGGGTTTCCAAAGGGGTCATCCTGGTCAGGCTCTTGTAGGATGGAAGCCTAAGCCAACAGGAAGCTGAGGATTTCATAATTGAAGTTATGCCCAGAAAGTAGAATGAACAAGCCACAGGTAGTCTTAAGAGGGTCAGGATGACCTGGTTCCCATTGACTGGCTGGTGTGGAATCCAGGGAGCAAGATGAGGGAGCTGGAATAGCTAGAGATTAGTTGGTAGAGCATGTTGAATTTAAAGTACTTGAAACATTTCTAAGTAGAAATACTTCCTAGGTGGATGAATATAAAGATGCGGTGTTTCCAAGAGAATCTGGGCTACGGATGCACAATTGAAACTGTTTCAGCATAGATGGGCTCTTTGACAGAATTATAAATGAAGTAGAATTGTCAAGAAGTTTCTTTTAGTAGGAAAGAAAGATGGATAAACCAGCAAATGCCCTTGCCCTGTACAGTGGTAGTAGCGTCCATCAGGAGAGGGGTGCAGAGACCTCCTAGCTGCAGAGGCATGGAATGATGTAGTAAAAACAAAACAAACCAAACAGTGGCATGTGTAATTTGTGGGCTTGATGTTGCTATGTTTTAGGTAACAGTTGACAAATGGGAACCTTTGTTGAACAACTTGGGGCATGTCTGCAGAAAACTTAAGTAAGTAAAACAATGTTTTCAGAAATATACTTTCAGAAATGTACTAAAAATTAACATACATTTTTTTTTTTTTTTTTTGGTACCAGGGATTGAACTCAGGTCCTTGAACTTGCGAGGCGGGCAGCAGAACCACTGAGCTAAATCCCTGGCCCCAGTTTACTTAATTTTGAATAGCCTTTGCCATATTTTTATTTTATAAGCTCCTCTAGCTTTTTTATACTTGGTTGCTCAGATGCAGCAAGCATCAAAATCAATGTTTTTGTTATTTATTTCCATTTGTTTAACTTTATTTTAGAAACATTATTATATAACAGCTTCTTTTAATATTAAAAAAAATTATGGGCCAGGGATTTAGCTCAGTGGTTCGGTGACCTGCCTTGCAAGCGCAAGGACCTGAGTTTAATCCCCGATATTTAAAAAAAAAAAAAAATTAGTGTTCCAAATTGATTCAGAAGAATCAGGACAAGAAGATCTAATTCAAATAATGTATATCTTCTAACTCTGTTGCTTGAGAGATTTTATGGTGTACCGAACAAATGACAGGTAAAAAGTTATTGTGATGGGCCAGGGATTTATTTAGCTCAGTGGCACCACACCTGCCTTGCAAGTACAAGGTCCTGAGTTCAATCCCTGGTACAAAACAAAATGTCACTGTGTGTGTGTGTGTGTGTGTGTGTGTGTGTGTGTGTGTGTGTGTGTGTGTGTGTGTGTGTGATGGAGTACTACTCTGCCATAAAGAAGAATAAACTTGAGTCATTTGAAGGAAAATGGAGTCATCTTGAGACCATAAGTTTAAGTAAAATAAATTAGACATGCAAACTTAAATATTGCATGGTTCCTCTTTCATGAGAAACCCAGAATATAAATAAAGAACAAAATTAAGGACAGATGATAGGAAGCAGGGAGTTAGTCTTTCTTAAATGAGAAGGGAATTAAGGGGGTGTTAAAATGTATTAGAAACATGTACTAATAAGTCAGAAAATCTAGATGAGTCAAAGTTTAATTAATCATTCTATTGCAGGATTTCTTTGAGTCTTTACTTTGTATTATGAGTTGTAGCATTTCCCAAAAGCTTTTTTTCATGCAAGATTTTACAGGACAGATATCTTAGAGAACTTTGGGGAACACCATTGCAAGTGTCTTTCAAATCTTAAAGCAAAACTCCTTGGCTGCTTCTAACCACCTGGTGTGGGAGATTTATTATCATGTGAAAAGGTGGTGTATGATAAGGCACAAGCCAAGGGTGGGAACGAGGTTCTGTTTCAGTGTCCCTTAGACAGCAAGGGTCCATGGCTGCTCAGAGAGCATGTCAGAAAGATACATTTCAAGGTGTTGAAGTCCATAAAAATAGGTATGGGACAGTCTATTCTACTATTCCAATAAAGAAAAGTTTCTTACGAGTTTATGTAGATAAATATGCACCTTAGAAATTTAGTACTTTTATTATACCTAATAATTGTTTTCTTTTATCCTCCTTTACCTCTACCCCCTCGGTCTTCTCTCAATAGAAAATATGCTGAGGCATTGGATTACCACCGGCAGGCATTGGTATTAATTCCTCAGAATGCATCGACTTATTCTGCCATAGGATATATCCATAGTCTGATGGGCAACTTTGAGAATGCTGTGGACTATTTTCACACTGTATGTCGTACTTGTACAATCCAACTATAAACTGGTTAACATTTACTACAATTTTTTTATGAAAAGATTTTTTCTAGGCAATATTTTATTTCTATACTGTTTTAAACTTCTTTAGCCAATCTTGTGTTCATTATTTTCTTTGCAGTGAAAAGCATATGCATGTTAAGCAATATTCATCAAATTTGAACAATTGTGAGATTTGTTCTAAGTGCGTTGAGGTGTTCTGATGCCTAAGATTCTTGTTATTTGCTTTGGTCCAGGTGTCTCATGTAGGCAGGCAAGTGCAGAAATAACTGTTCACAGTGAAAAGACTTTGAAAACACCTACTTACAACTCTTAACAATTCCTTTAGATTGCTTTGTAGATACACAGAAACAATCTGCATTCATCACAAGGAAAGAATCTCTCTTTCATCCATATACTGTATTTCATCAGAACCAGTACACCATCAATAAGTAAGATGAGCACAAAGAAAAAATGTTGCCAATTAAACTTTAACATAATTTTTTTTTATTTAGAGAAAGTACTCTTTTGGACATTTTATACAAGTTTTTTTTTGTTGTTTTGTTTTAATCAGGAACCTTAATGCATACATAAAAAATAAAATACAGGTGAAATAAATGGTCACAATTTTCAGTCCAGGTGGTCAGATCTCTGTTTTCCCAAAATAGTGTCCTGGTGCCAGTACACACACACACTGTTCTCAGCCACACACACCCTGCTTTGGAAACCTCTCAGAACCCTTCTGCCTGCTAACATCAGCAGAAGGTTGTTACCCTGTTTCCCCAAAAATGAGACCTAATTGGAAAATAATCAGCCTTGAAAACTAGAGATCAAAAGTGGGAGCTCCAGCCACCTTGCCTTACTTGCCATTACAGAGTAGCCACTGAGCAAGAGAATATTGGGGTAGAATCTGTATGACACTGGCCATCACCATGGTAATGACAAGTGTTTATTTTCTGGTTAGGTCTTATTTTTGGGGAAACACTGACAACCACCACAGTTCATGTTATCTTTCCATGTTTTTCCATGGTCTTTGTTCTCACATGACCACCAAGTCCACTTTGTGCAGACAGGACACTGCATCATAACTGGGGTCATAGCAGCAGCAGCAACAGCAGAAGGAAACCACCATGTATAATAAACATAAGAATTTGAGAAAATATGGGTCTTAGAAGCAATGAACTGATATTTGTGAAAAGAGATAAAATATGAGGGAATGTACTCTTTCAAAGATAAATTCATCAACGATAGATTCATACCTGATTTTCAAGGGTTGATTGGAAGTTTTCAGGAGCCTTTGCAATAGCCAGAATACTGAACTAGTAGAAGTTTAGACCAAACAAGTTTTCTGGCCTTGTCTGATCTTTTAGATATGTATGTTTGGATGCTGTATAATTTACTTTTCTTCAGTGATAATTAACACAGAAGACTCAGAGGGCTTTATGTGAAGATACAGTTCTTTAATTTCTTGGGGGGTAATTTTCAAATAAGAATAGAATAGTGATTAACCTCTGTGACCCTCACCTACCCTCGGCTGTCATCGCCTTGTGCCCAATCTTGTAGCTATGTCCCCTCTCACCTCCTCATTCAGATTCCCTGGAATATTTTGAAGTGAATCAATGTGAGATGACTGCTAAACAAGAGAGAAAGGATTATGTCTTCATAATCATCTTGAATCTTTTTGGCAGGCCCTTGGTCTTAGACGAGATGACACATTTTCTGTTACAATGCTTGGTCATTGCATCGAAATGTACATTGGTGATTCTGAAGCTTATATTGGTAAGATTATAATCATTCTTCCTGGCTGTGTATCCCACTTTTTAAAATTGTTGTTTGTGTCTGTTGTGGTTTCTTCAATTCTTTTCCAAGGTTCTAAGTTTATCTTTTCTGCCATTCTAACTACATTCATATCAGGAAGCTCAAATTTGTTACAACAGTGCATGGAAATCAATGATTTATCAAGCATCCATTCAGTTGTGAACTGAGTACTGGCTGTGCACAGGACACTGACAAAATATGTGTGAAGCGTGTATTAGAAAAGAGTCAGTCTTAAGTGCGTGCTGGAAGGAGACGTCTTAGAGATTTAAAAAAAATGAACTTAAGGGAAAAGAATTTTTAAAATAAATGAAGGGCTCTGGTGTTTCTGTTTACAGTACAGAGTATGGCTATTTTTACATCTCTGAAATGTTAGGGTGTCTTGTGTTCACTGAATAGTACTATGTAATTCTTTATTTTGTAGCTCTTTATTTTGTAATGATTAATGGCAGTAGGATAAATGTCAGTGAAATTTCTATGGGCACTCCCTTAGGTTCAGTTATGTGAGGGAACACTGAGGTTAAAGCTTGAGATATGGACCTTGGAGTGGGCAGAGATTGTTTTTTAGGAAACAAAAACATAAAAGGAAAAACAATGATAAATTGAACTTTTATAAAATTAAGAACTTTGAATTAAAAACACCATTAAAAGAGCTGGGGATTTAGCTCAGTGGTGGTGCTGCCTGCCTCGCAGTGCAGGGTCCTGAGTTCAATCCCCAGTATAAAAAGCAAAAAACAAAAAAAAAACCATTGAAAGAGTGGAAGGCACATCACAGATTGGGTGAAGTGAGTGACTCCCAAAGAACTCATATCTAAAACATGAAAAATTCTGCAAGAGGGTTAAAAAAAAAAGATTAAACAAATAATGTGATAAAAATGGCCAGACATTGAACAGGAGCTTCACAAAAGGTGTCCAGGAAGTTATGAAGCACATGAAGGTGTTCATTTGAAAAATTAAGTTAATCCCATAGTGAATGACTGCTGTATACCCTCCAGAAACACTGAAATTAAACATGGCACTTTCTTAAGGGCTTGACATGTGGAAACTTTTATGGTCGTTCCATAGAGTCAGTGACTATTCCCAACAGATGTATCACAGACAGTTCTTGTCAGTAACAGGAGAGGTGAATTTTGCACAAGGCTTTACCTGTATTTAAGCTTTGGGAACAACGTGGTTTAGCAACCACATGGGAGCCACAGTTGCATGTGCTTCCAAAGGCTTCCAAGGTGAAAACGAAGAAAGAAGCCATTTGGACTTTCAACATTCTGGTCCATACTCTTAAAGTTCAGTTGGATTTAAATGGTAGTATTCTATGTAATGATGAAAATAGATCAATGATCAAATGTATTTTATTCTAATTATGGTGTTTCTTTTTAGGAGCAGATATTAAAGACAAATTAAAATGTTATGACTTTGATGTGCATACAATGAAGACACTAAAAAACATTATTTCACCTCCGTGGGATTTCAGGGAATTTGAAGTAGAAAAACAGACTGTGGAAGAAACGGGACTTGCACCATTGGAAAACTCCAGGAAAACTCCAGATTCCAGGCCTTCCTTGGAAGAGACTTTTGAAATTGAAATGAATGAAAGTGACATGATGTTAGAGACATCTATGTCAGACCAGAGCACGTGACTGCAAACAGTGGTCCTGGGCCAGCCTGTGCTGGTATAGGTCAGTATTCCCTGCTGCCCTTGCCCTGTTTTAAGAATTTCCCACTTTTGGACATAAAACCAAACTTCATCTCTGTGTTTAGGACCAGAGGCTGCCTTGAGAGACTGACTGGATAGCACACCTTGCAGCAGATGTTCTGAGTCTCTGAACTACAAAATAGTTATACCTAGTGGAATAAAAAAGAAGGTAAACCATTCACTATGTCTTCTATTTTTTTCAATAAACTTTTACTTTGAATAAATTTTAGTTTGCAGAAGAGTTGCCAAGATGGTAGAGAGCTTCTTCATGTCCCTTGCCAGTGTCCCCCTTGGTAACATTGATAGCACATTGCTATTAACTGAACCCTAGCGTGCCCTATGGTTCTCTTTCTGTGCCAGCATCCTGCCCATATTCATTCATCACACCTACTCTTTGAACTTGGTTAGGATGATGTCTTATCTTACCTTGTTTTTCATGACCTGGAAAATTTAGAGGACACCCCATCAGGTCTGTAGAATGTCCCTCCTGAGTTAGGTTAAATGCCATAGAGGTGAAGCCCCTTTGTCATCACAGGTCATACTAACTTGGATTGCTTGGTCACAGCACCATCTGCTATCAAGTTGCTGTCTTTCCTTTTCTGAGCTCTGTGGGGCAAAGAGGTTAAACCCCAGCTCTTTAGGGGTAATTTTCATTTTATTCCTTCTTGAAGATCTGTCTCCTCTCTCCCACTTAGGTATTCAGTCATTTATCAGCGAGCACTTATGTCATATTTTGAGTTATAAATCTACATAACGTTACTTATTTTGTGGTTTAAATTGTTCAGCTTTGGCCACTGAAAGCTTTTTCAGCTTGACTCTTTGTCATGCTCTAATTCATTTAGTTGTTTTTCTGTTTCTTTATTGTAATCAAATGTAAGTAACGTAAACTGTGGACTTTGCAATTACACCAGTGCAAGATATTAACAACAGAGGTCGAAAGAGGGAGAGGATGTATATGGGAATTCTGTGCTTCCAACAGGCTTCCCGGCATTCCCTGTTTTCTGTTCAGTTTTCCTGTAAACCTAAACTATTCTAAGAAATACATCTCCTAGTGAAAACACACACATGCATAAAAATACAAAATGCTGCTTAACCATTTTTAAGAGCAGAGCTGAGTGGCATTAATTACCTTAACAATGTGCCACCATCTCATTTCCAGAATTTTTAATCACCTAGAACAAAACTTTCTATTCATTTGGCAGTGATTCCACACTCCTCCCTTCACCCCCCCAGGTCATTTCTAATCTACTTTCTATCTCTAAAAGTTTGCCTGCTATGTATATTTCATGTAAGGTTCATAGGATATGTTTCCTTCTGTACATGGCTTATTTACTTAGAATAATATTTTCAGGGTTTACCCATGTTGTAGCATCAATCAGAACTTCATTTCTCTTTATACCTGAATGCTATTCCATTATATTCTGAGAGGTTATATTTTGATTATCCATTCATCTGCTAATAGATGCTTGAGTTGTCTCCACTTTTGGGTTGTTGTGAGTGTTGCTGCTTCTTTGAACATTGGCACACAAACATATGAGTCTGTTTTGGTTTGTTTCAGTGTATATATGAGTTGTCTTTCTGGGTAATTCTATGTTTCACTGAGGAATTGCCACTCTTCCACAGCAGCTGTATCCTTTTACATTCCACCGGCACTGTACATAGGCTCTGGTTTTTCCACATCCTCACCAACACTTGCTATTTCCCATTAATTTTTATTTAGTAAACCTTGGTGATGAGCATCTTTTCATCTGGTTGTCATTTTTTTATCTTTGGAAATACTTAATGAAGTGCCTTGCCTAATTTTAAGTTGAGTTATCTTTTTTTTGTTGTTACTGAGTTGTAAGAGTTTTCTTATATATGTTAGCTATTAACCCCTTTTCAAACATAGGTTTTGTTCCCATTGTGTGACTTGTCTTTTCACTCTTTGAATGAGCTTTAGTCTATTTTTTGCTTGTTTTATTGCTATGCCTTTAGTGTTACATTTAGTCAGAAATCATTGCCAAATCCAAGGTCAAGTAGATTTCATGCAGCTCTTCATCTAAACTCATAAGGTTAGGTCTTTGATCTATTTTGAGTTAATTTTTTTTTTTTAGTTAATTTTTGTGTGTGGTATTAGGTAAGGGTCAACCTTTATTCCTTTGCAAATAGGTGTCTAGTTTTCCCAGTACAACATATTGAAAAGACTATTTCCCCCTTTAATTAGTCTTGCTACCCTTGTTGAAATCAGTTGACCGAAGATCTGAGGGTTTACTTTTGGGCTCTGAATTACATTCTTTGGTTTATGACTATGTTTATACCCCCACAGTGCTTTGATTACTGTGGTTTTTTTGTAGGTTTTGAAATAAAAAAATGTGAATCCAACTTTGTTCTCTTTCAAGGTTGTTTTGGCTATCATGGTACCCTTGAATTTTCATTGGTGTATTAGGAAATTTTTTTTTTTCCATTTTTGCTTAAAATGCCACTGGGATATCATTAGAATTGACATTGAATCAAGTGTCACTTTGGAAAGTATTCTCTTTTTAACAGTATTAATAAGTCTTCCAGGACCCAGGATTTAGCTCAGTGGTATAGCCGCCTACCTCTCAAGCACAAGGTCCTGAGTTTGATCCCCAGACCAAAAAAAAAAAGTCTTCCATTGCATGATCACCAGTTATCTTTTCATATATTTAGGTCACCCTTAATTTCTTTCAACAGTATTTTGAAGCTTTTGACATATAGCTCCTTGACTGCCTTGGTTAAATTTATTTTTTAGATGACATTGTGAATTTCCATTTTGATTATTCATTCTAACGTGTAGAAATGCAACTGATTTCTCTGTTGATTTTATATCCTTAATTTGTCTACTGGCTGTATTTGTGTGTGTGTGTGTGTGTGTGTGATTATAGTAAATAGAATTGGCTGAAGTCAGTCAGCCTTCTTGTCTTGTTTCTGATCTTACGTAGAAGATCTTACGTCTTTTACCATATGTTTGTTATGTTTTTCACAGATAGCCATTCTTGTGTTGAAGTTTTCTGGTATTCTTAGTTTACTGAGTGGTTCTTATCCTGATAGGGTGTAGATCTTGTCATATCCTCTTTTTGGATGGGTTGTGATGGTCAGGTATAATGAATTGAAGGATTTCAGGACTGAACAGGGAAAAGTTGTGACCACCAGCTCATGGCCCCATCTTCAAGCCCCTACCTGGGTGCTGTTAAGTGTCTGATCAGGAGAGTTACATTGATTCTGGTAGAGTTGTCCAGCCTAATCGTTGTTTGGTGGCAGGGCCAACCTCTGGAGCTTCCCATTCTGCCATTTTTCTGTGACACATAAAGCCAAAAGAATTTAATCAGTGCTGGTACCAAATTATAATTCTGTTCTGTAAAGTAAATGTGATTCACTATCTTTGTAAATTATACATTCTTGTGTGTAGAAGATAAACAATTTGAGTTTCCCTTCTTTTTACTTACTGATGACATGTCCTTTTAACTATTAGATTCTCTCTCCATTTTCATTTAATCATTTTAGCATCTTTTTCACTTTCGCGCATAGTAATAGACTGGAAATGGAATTCATGAGAAATAAGCAGGTGATTATTGGAAATAAGTCTTGCAATATGGAGGCTGCTATTTTATAGGCACATCTGAAATCAGCCCTTGCAGACCTGACTGAAATGCCCCATTGGTTGGGTTCAATTACTTAGATTTATACATTTGACTGTGATTCATTTTGTGAAAAGAAATGTTAAAATTTTTGTTTGTAAAAAAATGGTTACATGAGACCATTTTAAACACTTCACTGAAATTAGAAAAAGAGTCTTGGTTGTGGTCACTTTTAGCCCATTTATGCCAAAGATTGACATTTTTTTGAATTTTTGTATGAGATTCATAAGTTACCTAGAAAAATTCAAGGAACAAGAATTTGAAGAGAACATATTTCATTATGTTTCATTGTTACAGCCATTCCAAAAATGGATCATGAGGTATTGAAGGGTTAATATGGCTTGGGCTGTGTGTTTTGTTTGTTGACAGTCCTGTTTCAAACTCTTATAGTCTTAGCCTCATTAGAAACATTGTCCTGTGTCTTCATAGAAAAAGAAGTGTTATTATCACAAAATATTCATACACAGCATTGTTAGCAAATAAGGTATGAGATGAATTTTCTTGGCAACTGAAGTATTCCTTGAACCACGAGACTTGTAATCTTTACCTATGTAAAATGCCCCGTTCTGTGGCAGCTCATCACAGTGAATGTTGGCCACTGTCCTGGGCTTCATGTAGTAATGCACTAGTGTGTTTCTGAGTCTTCATTTTTCTCTTTTAATGGCTTTTCTATTTCTTCTCTCAGGTATGTGATTATTTTTATGCCTTTTCTTTCTCTAGCTGGGCCTAGGAAATCTAAATATTGAACTTGAAATAATGAAAAAAGAACTTACGTGGAAGTAGTGTGCTAATGAAATGCTGAGTTTTTTCACATTTATTTGCCTGACAGAACATTGAGCATCTGTTACAGTTTCTTAGGTATTTGGGTGAATCTTACTGGTGAGACATTATTAAATTGACACTGTTTTTAGACCTGACTAAGCTGTAATTCACATCAGCAACACAGTGTTAACACCAGCACTCAAGCTTCATTGTATAAGAAAGTGATGTCATTGTACCTCCAAGTATTCTTTCTGTTATACCCATTTCTCCAATAGTTCACAATGATGCAATTTCTTTAAAAGGTTCTGGGCCCCCAGGCATTGACCCCTCCAAAAAAAAACAGATGTCCTGGCCAATTGTAAAGTAGCTGTACCATCACCTTCAAAGAAGAAACTGGGAACGTTATGGTCATCAGCTCAAGTCACTGGTATCTACATTTAGATAGGGGCTCTGGAATAAAGTGCACTCCCAGAGCCTATCCATGGACAGATTAGGCTAAAGTAACATTAGTATATTCACCCTATATTTGGAGATTTTCAAGCAGTTATGTATGTCCTATTTGTGGCCTCTAGGTTGGACACACCTGTTATTAAAAAAAAAAAAAAAGGTGTAGAGCCAAGAGTGGTGTACACAACTGTAATCCCAGCACTCCAGAAGCTTTAGGCAGGAGGCTAAGGATTACCATGAGTTCAAGGACACCCTGAACTACACAGCAAGACCCTGTCTCAAAAAGGGGGTGGGGGTGGCTAGAAATAAGGTGTTGTTATTTGTATACATTAATTATATATTTTATATGCATCTGAAGACATTTCCTCTTCACTAAGTGTGGCCCAGGCATATCCATCACAGGGCTGCAGGTTAGACATGTAAAGTTCTGAACAAATATAAAACAAAACATTTGAACAGGCTGCGTAGTATATCAGAAGCTGGATTTTGTGTTATATGTAGTTTTTTCATATAAAATCATAAGCTACTTCTCCAAATACATGTCATGATATCTTGAAATTCATAATATTTTATTTAAAGAATCTGACATAGATGATTTCTAATACTGTCATTTTGTGAAATTTTTCAGAACTTTATTTGCAGTAACAGGAAATAAAGAATTACAGGGGTCTAAAAGTTGTGACAATGGTAGCTATTTCTTGGAGGGGGGTATTTGGGCATTTTGCTATTTCTGTTTACAGGAGATACACATCCAGCAAATTCTCTGTGTGAGTTCCTATCATATACCAGATTCCTGGGAACTTGGGTGGCCTGCAGGGAGAGGATAGTGCAGGGCACAGGGAAGCAGAGGTATGTATGCCTTTATG